GCTGCTGTGATATGACAGATGAAGGTTGTTCTGATGTGACTTCAGCTCTGGAATCAAACCCGTCACACCTGAGAGAGCTGGACCTGAGCGGGAATAAACTAGGAGACTCTGGAGTGAAAAACCTCAGTGATCTACTGATGAACCCACAATTCAAGCAGGAGAAACTACAGTTAGTGTCATTATACTGTACAGCAATTACAGTGTGACTGAAGTTTATTTATTTGAAGACAGCAGGGCTTATATGTTTCATTGGTTATAGCAGTGCACTTTCTGGGTTTCCCTATTGCTCACATTTTTGTGTGTTTTTTCAGTGCTGTCAATCGATTAAAAAAATTAACTCGATTAATCACAATTAAAAACACAGCTTTTATAGGTTTATATTTAGTTTATATATTTTAGAATGTAATCATTTCACAGTTAATCTCCAAATTAATGTAGAGACAACATAAAGACAGTATATTTTAAATACTTGTTTAATGGCATCTTTTTATGAATGAAGGTCAGTATCACTGATAAGTCAAAAAATACAAAAATGGTGTGCACATCCCAAACACCCAAACTGGGCTCAGGTGCAGGACAACTGAGTGCCTGATGAAGACCTGAGGGTCGAAACGTTGCCTTTTAATAAATACTTTTGGAGCAGTCATTTTTATTGTGCGGACTTCACACTTCTTTATTTGTCAGTATCACTGATACTAATACAGCTCTATGTCATGACATTATAATACAGCTAATACAGCTCTATGTCATGAAATTATAATACAGCTAATACAGCTCTATGTCATGACATTATAATACAGCTAATACAGCTCTATGTCATGAAATTATAATACAGCTAATACAGCTCTATGTCATGAAATTATAATACAGCTAATACAGCTCTATGTCATGAAATTATAATACAGCTAATACAGCTCTATGTCATGAAATTATAATACAGCTAATACAGCTCTATGTCATGACATTATAATACAGCTAATACAGCTCTATGTCATGAAATTATAATACAGCTAATACAGCTCTATGTCATGACATTATAATACAGCTAGAACAGCTCTATGTCATGACATTATAATACAGCTAATACAGCTCTATGTCATGACATTATAATACAGCTAATACAGCTCTATGTCATGACATTATAATACAGCTAATACAGCTCTATGTCATGACTTTATAATACAGCTAATACAGCTCTATGTCATGAAATTATAATACAGCTAATACAGCTCTATGTCATGACATTATAATACAGCTAATACAGCTCTATGTCATGACATTATAATACAGCTAATACAGCTCTATGTCATGACATTATAATACAGCTAATACAGCTCTATGTCATGACATTATAATACAGCTAATACAGCTCTATGTCATGACTTTATAATACAGCTAATACAGCTCTATGTCATGAAATTATAATACAGCTAATACAGCTCTATGTCATGACATTATAATACAGCTAATACAGCTCTATGTCATGACATTATAATACAGCTAATACAGCTCTATGTCATGACATTATAATACAGCTAATACAGCTCTATGTCATGAAATTATAATACAGCTAATACAGCTCTATGTCATGACATTATAATACAGCTAATACAGCTCTATGTCATGACAGCTAATACAGCTCTATGTCATGAAATTATAATACAGCTAATACAGCTCTATGTCATGACATTATAATACAGCTAATACAGCTCTATGTCATGACATTATAGTACAGCTAATACAGCTCTATGTCTCCATGAAAATGACCCCCCCCCCCCTCATTTTAAACAATTAATTATAGCCATTCAACATTACAGTGTAATTGAAAGCTACCAATTTTTTTAACATTTATTAGGCTTCAAAAATATAACTTAAAATTTAAGTGAACTTTAAACAATCCTCACATAAACCTTAATTAATGTCATATTTACCTGTGCCCTTCCTACCTGTCTAACATATACAGAACAATATACAGAAATTGAATAAAGTTATCAAACAGTCTGCAATGCATACTGTCACAGTCTTCGTCTGCACCTGTCTGTCTTAGTCATCTTCACTACACTTCCCAGAATCCTTCTTGTCTCCACACCTGAACTCACTCCCTCACTTACCAGCCTGTCCCTCGTTATCATCATCAGTGTCACCTGTTTTCACCTTGTTATGTTTGATTCATGCTTGTATTTAGTTTGCTTCTGTTCAGTCTGTCCTGGTCGGTTGTTAAAGTTATATGGATGTGTTTAGTGTGTGTTTCTGCCCGTCATTCTGCCTGCCTGTACCTGTGAGTTTGATCAGTAAAACTGTTTGATTTGGAGCTTTTGACTCAGCCATCTTCTTCTACCCGCACAACACCGTGACAGACCAACCGACCAAGACATGGATTTCCCTGCAGTAAGACTGCTGTGCCTTGAGCAAGGAAACAGCTCTCTTGAGGAACACCTAGAAGTCTTCCTGGATCTGGTACCTCAAACCAGTTTCCCAGATGACTGCCTTTGCACGTTTCTACGTGTGTGACTGAACAACACCACTCGAGCGCAGTTGTCTGGGGAACCTCCTCAAGGAAGCTTTGCCCAATTTGTGGAGTGGGTGCTGGTATCCTGCGGATCTTCCTTCACTGTCGATGACGTCACCAGCCCCACTCCAACCCCAGTGCCCAGCCTGAATCCTACGGTTGGATTCAAGCAGGCAGAGCTTCCACCACTGATCCCGTCTGCCCAGCCAGAGACCGTCCAGCCAGAGACCGTCCAGCCAGAGACCGTCCAGCCAGAGACCGTCCAGCCAGAGACCGTCCAGCCAGAGACCGTCCAGCCAGAGACCGTCCAGGCAGAGACCGTCCAGGCAGAGACCGTCCAGCCAGAGACCGTCCAGCCAGAGACCGTCCAGCCAGAGACCGTCCAGCCAGAGACCGTCCAGCCAGAGACCGTCCAGCCGGAGCCTGTTCACGTCCCGTCCAGTCCGCTTGTTCCGTCCAGCCCAGAGACCCCTTCACCGCTGGTTCCGTCCAGCCCAGAGACCCCTTCACCGCTGGGGCCGTCCAGCCCAGATACCCCTTCACCGCTGGTTCCGTCCAGCCCAGATACCCCTTCACCGCTGGTTCCGTCCAGCCCACGGACCCCTTCACCGCTGGTTCCGTCCAGCCCAGAGACCCCTTCACCGCTGGTTCCGTCCAGCCCAGAGACCCCTTCACCGCTGGTTCCGTCCAGCCCAGAGACTAGTAGTGACTCTGTCACTCTCCCCATTAATTTTTTGGGGGGGGGGGCCATAGGGCTCCGCCATGGCCGCCCGAAGGGTCCTCACCGCCATGGCCGCCCGAAGGGTCCTCACCGCCATGGCCGCCCGAAGGGTCCTCACCGCCATGGCCGCCCGAAGGGTCCTCACCGCCATGGCCGCCCGAAGGGTCCTCACCGCCATGGCCGCCCGAAGGGTCCTCACCGCCATGGCCGCCTGAAGGGTCCGCACCGCCATGGCCGCCCGAAGGGTCCGCACCGCCATGGCCGCCCGAGGGGTCCGCACCGCCATGGCCGCCCGAAGGGTCCGCACCGCCATGGCCGCCCGAAGGGTCCCCACGGCCCTGGCCACGCCCATGTCCTGCTCCGCCCTGGCCACGTCCTGCTCCGCCCTGGCCGCCTTCACGTCCTGCTCCGCCCTGGCCGCCTGCACTTCCTGATCCGCCCTGGAGGCTTCCCGTCTCAGTTTGGCCACGCCCTGGCCAGCCTTCAGGGCGCCCGCCCCCCCACCCCATTGATGTTCTACGGCGCGAGGTCGCGCCTTGTTGAAGGGGGGCGTTCTGTCACAGTCTTCGTCTGCATCTGTCTGTCTTAGTCATCTTCACTACACTTCCCAGAATCCTTCTTGTCTCCACACCTGAACTCACTCCCTCACTTACCAGCCTGTCCCTCGTTATCATCATCAGTGTCACCTGTTTTCACCTTGTTATGTTTGATTCATGCTTGTATTTAGTTTGCTTCTGTTCAGTCTGTCCTGGTCGGTTGTTAAAGTTATATGGATGTGTTTAGTGTGTGTTTCTGCCCGTCATTCTGCCTGCCTGTCTGTACCTGTGAGTTTGATCAGTAAAACTGTTTGATTTGGAGCTTTTGACTCAGCCATCTTCTTCTACCCGCACAACACCGTGACACATACATTATAGATTAAATATAGACTAATCCTTATCAAAGCCACAAAAGTTCTTTACTCAAGAGCAGTGAGTAATGTTCTCTGTTACCTTTGTTCTTTGATTAACTTTACTGACAGACATGATTATTGGCTACTGTCACTTTAAGACCAGCCGCTGCTGATAGAGACGCGGATCTCACACGCGTCTCATTCTCTCACAACTCTTTACGTTCATTTAAGACTTTATTCAACTCATTTCAGACTGTTCTTATGTTATGAGGAAACTCGACAAAACGGACATTTGGCATAATTGTGTGTACTGTTCATTTAAGCGCGAAAGAGAACTATATTCTGGCGCGCTGTCTGTGCGCACGATACTGGCGCGCGTCTTTCTGTGCATCGTGTGTGTGTGTGTGTCACATAGACAGGTCATTCACAGGCAGGTCATTAAACTTGAATGGTTTAAAAGCATTTGTAAGAATAAGAGCGGCATCATATAATGTAAAGCTAGCCAAAGGATGACAAAAATTAATGGATGCTGCGTTAAATATTTTAACGTTAAACTGGACAAAAAATAATCGCATGCGTTAACGTTGACAGCCCTAGTTTTTGTATCTAGTTAGTAGAGTGTAGTTAGTGATTGTTTAATTCCCAACATCTGATACAATGTACTGATTGTGTACATGCAGAAATCTGCCTTTTCAACAGAGAATAAAATAGAGAGACGTCAAATAAATAGTTAAAAATGAAAGAGAAGAAACAGTGTCTTCCAGCGCACAGAACTAGTGTGACTGGGTTTTAAAACAGACTATTGGAAACTAAATGCTGCTGTAGCTCTTCAATAAGATGATCATCATAGATGTGAACTATTGTTATTTCTCTGTCTTCAGTCTGAGTGAATGCAGTATTACAGAGGAACAGAGTCTCATCCTGACTTCAGCTCTGAAATCAAACCTGTCACACCTGAGAGAGCTGGACCTGAGCGTGAATAAACTAGGAGACACAGGAGTGAAGCACTTATGTGCCGTACTGAAGGATTCACACTGTAAACTGGAGAGATTGAGGTCAGTCACATTCACATACAAGAATCAAAATGCTTAAAATCACTTCAACTGTTTAAACTAGAACACATTAACATTATATTTGTACAAACAATTTCACCGTAGTATTTTGTGATCTGGTGAAATAAAGATGAAGATCTTTCTTCCTCTGTCTGTTTTATTTGCTGATGAAGATGATGTGACTTTACAGAATAAAGAGTCTCTTATTTTCTTCATTCTCTATCTCTCTCTCTGCTAATGTAGGTTAAGCTGCTGTGATATGACAGATGAAGGTTGTTCTGATGTGACTTCAGCTCTGAAATCAAACCCGTCACACCTGAGAGAGCTGGACCTGAGCGGGAATAAACTAGGAGACTCTGGAGTGAAAAACCTCAGTGATCTACTGATGAACCCACAATTCAAGCTGGAAGAACTACAGTTAGTGTCATTATACTGTACAGCAATTACAGTGTGACTGAAGTTTATTTATTTGAAGACAGCAGGGCTTATGTTTCATTGGTTATAGCAGTGCACTTTCTGGGTTTCCCTATTGCTCACATTTTTGTGTGTTTTTTTTCAGTGCTGTCAATCGATTAAAAAAATTTACTCGATTAATCACAATTAAAAACACAGCTTTTATAGGTTTATATTTAGTTTATATATTGTATAATGTAATCATTTCACAGTTAATCTCCAAATTAATGTAGAGACAACATAAAGACAGTATATTTTAAATACTTGTTTAATGGCATCTTTTTATGAATGAAGGTCAGTATCACTGATAAGTCAAAAAATACAAAAATGGTGTGCACATCCCAAACACCCAAACTGGGCTCAAGTGCAGGACAACTGAGTGCCTGATGAAGACCTGAGGGTCGAAACGTTGCCTTTTAATAAATACTTTTGGAGCAGTCATTTTTAGTGTGCGGACTTCACACTTCTTTATTTGTCAGTATCACTGATACTAATACAGCTCTATGTCATGACATTATAATACAGCTAATACAGCTCTATGTCATGACATTATAATACAGCTAATACAGCTCTATGTCATGAAATTATAATACAGCTAATACAGCTCTATGTCATGACATTATAATACAGCTAATACAGCTCCATGTCATGACATTATAATACAGCTAATACAGCTCTATGTCATGAAATTATAATACAGCTAATACAGCTCTATGTCATGAAATTATAATACAGCTAATTCAGCTTTATGCCATGAAATTATAATACAGCTAATACAGCTCTATGTCATGAAATTATAATACAGCTAATACAGCTCTATGTCATGACATTATAATACAGCTAATACAGCTCTATGTCTCCATGAAAGTGACCCCCCCCCCCCCCCCCCCCATTTTAAACAATTAATTATAGCCATTCAACATTACAGTGTAATTGAAAGCTACCAATTTTTTTAACATTTATTAGGCTTCAAAAATATAACTTAAAATTTAAGTGAACTTTAAACAATCCTCACATAAACCTTAATTAATGTCATATTTACCTGTGCCCTTCCTACCTGTCTAACATATACAGAACAATATACAGAAATTGAATAAAGTTATCAAACAGTCTGCAATGCATACATTATAGATTAAATATAGACTAATCCTTATCAAAGCTACAAAAGTTCTTTACTCAAGAGCAGTGAGTAATGTTCTCTGTTACCTTTGTTCTTTGATTAGTTTTACTGACAGACATGATTATTGGCTACTGTCACTTTAAGACCAGCCGCTGCTGATAGAGACGCGGATTTCACGCGCGCCTCATTCTCTCACAACTCTTTACGTTCATTTAAGACTTTATTCAACTCATTTCAGACTGTTCTTATGTTATGAGGAAACTCGACAAAACGGACATTTGGCATAATTGTGTGTGTTATTGTTAATTTAAGCGCGAAAGAGAACTATATTCTGGCGCGCTGTCTGTGCGCACGATACTGGCGCGCGTCTTTCTGTGCACCGTGTGTGTGTGTGTGTGTGTGTCACATAGACAGGTCATTCACAGGCAGGTCATTAAACTTGAATGGTTTAAAAGCATTTGTAAGAATAAGAGCGGCATCATATAATGTAAAACTAGCCAAAGGATGACACAAATTAATGGATGCTGCGTTAAATATTTTAACGTTAAACTGGACAAAAATGAATCGCATGCGTTAACGTTGACAGCCCTAGTTTTTGTATTTAGTTAGTAGAGTGTAGTTAGTAATTGTTTAATTCCCAACATCTGATACAATGTACTGATTGTGTACATGCAGAAATCTGCCTTTTCAACAGAGAATCGGTCTTTGTCAGGTGACGTCACACTCTTGCAACACGAATTGCATTATGGGCGTTGCCGCCATTTGTAAGTTATCAATGCTGGTGTGTTCTGTTCATAGACAGTTCTGTTGGGAGTGTTGTTCATAAATGCGATAAAATGGTGCGTTCTTGTTCTGTTTTATTGTGTTAGGTATTGTTTGTGTAATTAATACAATAAAGAAAAAAATGCATGAAAAGAGGGTAGTATTATAATGTATTTGACACGTTCAAACTAAACAAACCATCCTTAATCAGGCAGTGATGATATTAACATGACATTATTATCATCATCATCATCATCATCATCATTACAGCAAACATACCTTTGCTGTTACTACTGTGTTGTCGCAGTCCTTCGGTCGGAATGTGAATAAATCCTGTACCCAGCCATTGGTGAAATGTCCGTGGGCTTCCAGAGATGTATAGTTTTTGAATTGTTGACTGGTATATGCGTTTATACCATAAACAAGATAATTGGCAATGTCTAAGTATGAGGATGGAGGAAGCAATGCGGGGTCAGCACTGCAACTTACTGCAGTCAGCTCAAATGGATCTGTGTTCTGAATGGATGACAATTTCTCCAAATAACGGTTTCTGGGATCTTTATCGAGTTTATCTCGGTACGGCCTTTTCTCAATTTTTATTTTGCTTCTCCAGGTTTGCGAGTTATATTTACTTATTATCTAGATAGTTATCTTATTGTTATCTTTCTTACTTCTACTCCTGTAATCTCTTTAATTCTCAGTCAGCCGCGATACCTCAAAAATGACACACACAACAAACCCACGTGTCTGACAATGACCGATAAAGAAGAGAGACGTCAAATAAATAGTTAAAAATGAAAGAGAAGAAACAGTGTCTTCCAGCGCACAGAACTAGTGTGACTGGGTTTTAAAACAGACTATTGGAAACTAAATGCTGCTGTAGCTCTTCAATAAGATGATCATCATAGATGTGAACTATTGTTATTTCTCTGTCTTCAGTCTGAGTTATTGCAGTATTAAAGAGAAACAGAGTCTCATCCTGACTTCAGCTCTGAAATCAAACCCGTCACACCTGAGAGAGCTGGACCTGAGCGGGAATAATCTAGGAAACTCAGGAGTGAAGCACTTATGTGCCGTACTGAAGGATTCACACTGTAAACTGGAGAGACTGAGGTCAGTCACATTCACATACAATAATCAAAATGCTTTAAATCACTTCAACTGTTTCAACTAGAACACATTAACATTATATTTGTACAAACATTTTCACCTTAGTATTTTGTGATCTGATGAAATAAAGATAAATATCTCTCTTCCTCTGTCTGATTTATTTGCTGATGAAGATGATGTGACTTTACAGAATAAAGAGTCTCTTATTTTCTTCATTCTCTCTCTCTCTCTCTCTCTCTCTCTCTCTCTGCTAATGTAGGTTAAGCTGGTGTTATATGACAGATAAAGGTTGTTCTGATGTGACTTCAGCTCTGAAATCAAACCCGTCACACCTGAGAGAGCTGGACCTGAGCGGGAATAAACTAGGAGACTCTGGAGTGAAAAACCTCAGTGATCTACTGATGAACCCACAATTCAAGCTGGAGAAACTACAGTTAGTGTCATTATACTGTACAGCAATTACAGTGTGACTGAATTTTATTTATTTGAAGACAGCAGGGCTTATGTTTCATTGGTTATAGCAGTGCACTTTCTGGGTTTCCCTATTGCTCACATTTTTATGTGTTTTTTTTCAGTGCTGTCAATCGATTAAAAAAATTAACTTGATTAATCACAATTAAAAACACAGCTTTTATAGGTTTATATTTAGTTTATATATTTCACTTTCTGGGTTTTTTAAACTAAAACACTTTATACTCAATATATGACAGTGAGTCTGAGTTCACATTATATCTGTGTAAAATTCTTCACATTCATGATTTGTTTGTAAGATAATCTCTCTTCCTCTGTTTGTGTCTCTCTAGACTATATGACTGTGGCATTACAGATGTTTCTTCTTTAACTCAGTCTTTGACTAACTCAAAAGCACTGCAGTTTTTAAAAGAGCTTAATCTGAGACTCAATGAGATAGGAGACTCAAAGCAGCGGCTCAGAGACGAGCTACGAGACTCAAACTGTGACCTGAGGTGAGGAAACATCACTGAGATATTAAAGAGATCTTCATTTACCTCTGATATGTGAACAAACCTTTCAAAAATTCGTGAAAGGAAATTATCATTAAGCTTTATTGCAACAAAGGGTTTGTGTGAGAACAAAATGTGAAGTTATTGAAATGTTCAACACAAAGGAGGAAAGAGAAGAAAAGCTCACTGTCACAGCTTTATACATCAACACCTGCTTTATGAACTGTGTCAGTAGAAGTGAATCATTTCAGTGTGAAAACAGACTTGGTCAGATTGTAGGAAACGCTGCACTCCTGCTAAAATCAGTGCAGTTCCAGCTTCAGCTCACAGCGTCCAGCTCACATGAGCAATGTCTCTGTCTCTAGTGTGTTTTACTGTGACAAGCAACACGTCACACTACTCTACACTTACTTTACTCTCAGTTATTTACTAAGAGCCTACAAACATGTTTAAACTAGAGGACAAACGGCTTTAACTAAAGGTTTGTGTTTAACTCAAAATAACATTAGTATTTGCTCCCTGTGGTTTTTTCCATACGCCGTACACTCATTAGTTTCTCCTTTACAGAGACTCAACAGGAGTCGCACCGACACACACAGACACACATGTGAACATGATTCAGGTTTAAATCTATTATATTTAAAAACACAAATATTTATGCAAGATCATGTAAAGTCAGTAATTAATCTGATTACAGGAATTCAATTTAACTTATTTTTACTCAAAAAACAGTAATTGAAATATAATAATTTGCACTTTGTTCCACTGAACACTGATTGTTTTCTCTTCTGTTCCACTTTACAGTGTAGATTAAGATCAGTCACCAAACGTCAGTGGATTTACATCAAGGTTTAAATCTGTGAAACGGAGATGAGCGGAGCAGAAACCATCAGGTGATCCACAGAAGAGTCTCACTGCTGTCTATGAGGAGAAATACATGTGTAAATGTGTTTCATACAGGTGGAAGAGACTCAGACTTCACTATTAAATAAAGCAGAGTGTGTGTTAGCATGCGTATTAGAAACATGTGATATTGAATGATTAATGTTGGTTTATTATTCA